GAAAGTAATTTACAAGTTATAGTAGCAAGGCAAGTTTGTTAGTGCCAGTACCAATCTCAAGTGCAGAAGGATCGAAAAGTTCACCGATTATCAAAATGTCCAGAAAACAAAAAAAACAAATACAAAACAAAAGACGTAAAACTCATCCAGAGAAAATGAGTCAGTAAGTCAATACACCGAGACATTTGAAACTCATTCCGAATTTCGAGATGAAATGATGAATGATGCTGATGATTATTATAACTGAAATTATCATTATAAAAGTATCAGCAATAAAGTTTCCTATCATAGATACGTGTTGAAATTAAATACATATACTGTAGTTGTTCCATGATTATAAATATAGCGTAATTTGGACCCAGTAATCGATCGTTATATTTGTGTACTGTATTTAATTTGAATAATCGGAGATTGAATGTGTGTATATTTCTTGACAAACATGTTACCTTGAGTGAATAAATAAATGAAATGAGTTTTCTTTAATAAAATAATCGTATATTTCGTATCTTTATTTATAATGATAAATATTAGTAATACATATAGTTATATCTCACAAAAATATCATAATCAATGATATAGGATGATTTTTATCTGATTTCGAGTCTGCTTGGAAAGCGTAGTGCTTTCAATATTACCACTAAACGGTCCAGATCCAAAAAAAACACAACAACGATGTACTGGTGAATGGCCGGACACTCGTATACATCGATTATATAAGTACTTTTTCAGAAGTCTGTGTGATGATATGCTGCGCATTATAAATTGGAATATTTTATCCTATCGGCATCTCCGAGTCACATATGTATCGATAGAAGGCGCAATTGACCGGGGTCACGGATTTTAAAGTATGAGTTCGTCAGTCAATCTACAAACTTGTACTAGAAAATAAATTATGAATAAGTGCCCTTCACGTTGGACCGACATACCGACAGCATATTCGAGTCCGTAGACTGTCTTCTTGAACAGTGTTGTCAATGTAGTGCTCTCAATTCAAGTTAAACATGTTTAACCAATCGGCTTTAGAAAACATTATATAATTGTATTATAAGTAGAGATCAGATTATTATAAGTAGAGATCAAGGATGGCCGTAGACTTAATTTGTTACACGGTGAAGCTTGAAAAGACACCATCGAACGTATTTTGTTTGTTAATCTGAACATCTAACATTCAAACGCAAGAATATCACTTTGTATATTTTGCGATTTCATTGTATTCAAGGTGTTATCATATGTCGGGTGTTGGTGTGAATGAACATAGCAAACTAAGTGATTGAGTTGCCGCCATAGCGACAATAAGAGGTGACAGGAATTGAAAACATGGTTATAGAGCAATTGGTCGGGGTCAGGGATTTGAAAGTATGCGTTCGCCAGTAAATATACACCCTCGTACATGCAACTCCGGGATTAGCAGATATGTGTTGTTGGTGCAAGTTGTCACGGTGATGTATTGGGTGTTGTTGTGCACGAGCTGAGAAAAGTTATTGAAGTGCCGCCGAAATAGGTTATAATTGACATCGTAGTGTTGCCATAAATACAGCGTTGAAAACAGCTGTATGCCATTCAGTCTACAATTAACCGTTTCAATATAAGTCAACAGTATGTGAACTTTTGTTCGTTAATTATTAATCCGATTTTTTTAGAAAAATGGCCCGGGTAAAATAACATGCATGAAATGTTGTTTCAGCAGCGATTGCCTTAGACACAATGAAAACACATTTCCTCGATAAAACTCCACTAAAAATATTCTGATTTTTTAAATACTTTTAGACATCAGAAAGTACCTTGTAATACATTATATATCTGTTTTTACCATATGTTTCCGAGCATGAACATTTCGAGATATTGAGATATATCTTTGCTACAGCAAGCATTATTAAAATGTCATAAAACAGACATATTTTCATTTCATTTGGTACATCGAGTACGACAATCCCATATTTATTCTTTCTTCATCCTTGCCACATATGATATATCCAATATGCAGAAATGAAGAAAATATGTTTGCTTTTGTCATTTGTTCAGAGTTCTATCCTGAAACAGACAATATGAAATGTTTGCCAACATTCGGTCACGTGATGACAACCTCTAATTATTTGTCAAAATATTCCTAATATTTCAATCGAGCGTTATGAATGATTTCATGATGCAATTTTAATTGTTTAATTAAGAGCTTTCTCGAGGAAACGATAGCAGAAACTCGTTGCCAAAAATAATCCAGAGAACTCCCCGGTATTGATACTTTTGATTTTCTTTCATGTTTCAATTAAAATATTAAAAGTTTTTAGTATAAGCACCGTAGTATAAGAAATCAACGTACGAAGTACAGATTGAAAATATAGGCCGAGGTCAGCCTGTGACCTGACATTGTCACGTGATAAGCCAGTCAGCTGACTTTCGACGCCATATTGAAAACAGGTGAGATTCGTGTTTGTTTTCTTCATTCCCTTGAATATTGCGATGCTCATTGTTTTGACAGCACATGCATCTTGTGATAAGTCTGTTCATGTTTCATATGCAATGTGCCAAGCAGAGTAAACAGACAGTATTTTACCGCGGACTTCACATACACAACATCGAGCTTGATGTCCAGTTTATATTTAATCGTACTTTTTAGTGGTCCCTTCGAGTAGCGTGCGTGTGTCTTAATCTAATAATCATGTGTTGAGTGCATGCCAGTACATGACGTATGAATATCGGTATTCCGTGCTGCACTGGCTGCTTACCAATTTCTTACGACACGTCATCAATCGAAAGACAACACATCAGTATTATTGTATAACGTCATCATAACCCAGACAGTGTAATACCATAACTAATCCCAGTATTACGGTATGGTACACACACAGCAATGAGACTCTACGCCGGCAAATCTCGGCAGTACTACCACCAATTATCTCAGTTCATTAGCGATTTAATTTTTTTATCTGTTTCGAAATTAGGTTAAAAACATGAATAAATATCTGTTTGTGAATGCAAAACAATTATTGGTGAACTTGCTTAAAATACCGAAAACATGAACGTCTAAATTGTTAGTCTATGCATGGAGCTAAGACCTGTCAAAATTAATATTTTTTTCTGTTACAGAATTCTGCTAAACTTCCTATTTGGATCCATACACCATTTGGATAAGAAATGCGCCATTTGCTTTTGTTAAAATTCATTTACCATATTTACTCTAGAAGCACATCTCTAATAGAAGTGCTCATAAACCAATTAGGGACAACATCAAAAGTTCAATGTAGGATAAAAAACTTAATTCCTTTAGTCCCCCCCCCCTCCATACTAAAACTTAATTGATAAATATTGATCACCACTAAATACAAATTGATAATCGGACAGTAGTATGGCATAGCAGTTGGTTGTCGAGTGGGTGTAAAAAGACTTTACAAATATATACACATATTTACACTCAGACCAAACCATTTTCTCATCTTGGATGTTTTTTTTTTCATTTTCTGTTATTTTTGTCCATGATTGGATAGAAAAAAAACGAACTACAAATACTCAAAGATTTTTTTTACTTCATTCAAAAATTAAAACGTTTTTGTGGGATGGAAACTTGTTTAGGTCACCCCCCCCCCAAAAAAAAAAAACTAAAGCAAATATCTGACATCGATCTTTTGCATGTAGAATATGACCAATCTTTAAAATATTACTTATTTTGACCCAGGCCCTGGACTGTGTTTTGATCATCTTTCAGACAAAGGTGTCTGTTCGCATTTATTTGGCACAGCAATTTTGTGGTCCGAAAATTAGTGGAATGGTTGCAAAAAGCAAAAAAATACCTTGAGGTAGAAATTTACTTAAATTATAAACCAGAAAAAATAAATATAATATGGTGTCAATGTACTCAAAATTGGTGAAAAAATAGGACGAAAATAACATGCTTTTTCTCAAATCTTTCTGCACTCTTATATTTTTCAATATTTCTCGAAATGAACCCTAATTTTGGCTATTAATTTTTGTCTCAATCTTGTGAAGGAAAATGCGGTCTATAAATGAGATTATTTTGTGAATTTGTGATGAAAAGGGGGAAATGGTGGTGAGAATGTTAAGACATGTCACCTTTGTTTTCTTATGGCAAGGATAAATCTTACTGCCTTGTAATCTTGTTTGGTGACAAGACATGTCTATCAAAATACTTCATGTATACAATTTTTTATTGGAAAAATGTGTTTTTGCTGTTATTTATAGAAACTGACACTAAAATTGTCATTGTATTATTTTAAAGTAAACAATTAACAATAGATATATTTTCACAGTGAGTTCTCCCTACCAGGGTGTGGAGGTTTTGATAATTCTATGTTAAAATAGAGCATTCTATGGCTTCCTTGGGGCCAAAATTACTATCAGACAGGTCACAGTTGAAGACTGTGGCCACATGTCATCCCTGGCCAATCAGAATTTTATGGTTGCCAGAGGATCTGATCCCCAGAGGTGCCATATGAGGGCGCTGCGCCCCTGTTCCCGTGTTTAAAAAAAATACCTGAAAATTAATAAAAATTGTCCTGGTTTTGGTAGTCTAATCTCACAGCAGCTACTGTGAACCACTTTAAATTCAAAGAGACAAATTTTCATCCATTTCAGGAATTTTTTGAAAATAGTGAAATTTTGTAGCAGTGTCAGTTTCACAAAACAATGTCTTCACAAACAATAAAATTGTGAAAAATCTTAGCTATAAAAATAAAGTATCAGTATTCTTAGTGCATGCATTTAAATTATAAACATGTGGTAGAATAATATTGTAAAGAACATAAAAAGTGCTATGTCATGATTCTCTGATATAATATCTAGGAATTATAATTTCCTCTTAAACACTAAATTTTCTCTAACCAATTTGCCAGGTAATTTAACTCTTCTAGTTATGAAACCTGTTTATTTCACTTTATCTATTTCATGTTATTTTCTTCTTGTATTCTCATCTTACAGACCGAGAGGAATGAATGAATGATGTTTGAAATACAGAATTTAAGTTTGATGATTAGCGTCTGAGAATCATTATGGCTAAGGCAAAGGAACCTAAGATCATACAAGATTTGAAAGGTAAGTACTGGTAGATTCAATGGTGAATTGATAAATCATTGACAGGCAATGTGTACCACATTATTATACATCTAGCATAAAAAAAAACAATAGAATCTGCTGTTTATATATGCACACATTCAAAAACCTATCAGTACAATCAGCACTCATTTGTTTAACTTTTTCACCACCAGATATTCTCGTCCACATTTTTCTGCACTCTTTTTTTTTTTTATATTTCAAGAAGTGAACCCTAATATTTTAGCCAGCATGGTTTTAGAAATTTTGAGTCAATTTTCAGTTTTTACTAAAAACATATTGCTATTTTTGTCCCATTCTCCTAAAGATGAGTGCAGATTATAAACGGGACTATTTTGTGAATTTGTGATGAAAAGAGGGAACTGGTGGTGCAAAAAAAAATTTTTTTATGTGGGTAAACTACACTATCCACATTGATATGTTACAGGTTATAGACATCATATTTTCATTTGTTTACATTGGATGCTATAGCATGCAATGGAAATCTTGTAACTTATGCGAATGTTTGCAAAACAAAAACAATTTTCGTTGACATATTGGCCTGCAATCTTTTAATAAATCATTACTACAAGCAGAAAAAAGAAGATGAAGACAGTACAGCGAGAGTATCTAGCGATGTGCAGTGGAGGTCGATACAACCACGTACTGTCTGAGTGCATACTTTGCAGTATCCTCGTAATAACCTTATTATTATACATCTTTTCCTCCCCAGGAATGCCAAAATCTAAAACATTTAGAACAGATTTAGTAAAATTTTTTGTGTGGTGTCCGGTCAAACCCTGGGGGCAGCCATGTATGTATAATAATAATATGTTATTATGAGAATACTGCAAAGTATGCACTCTGGATTATTATCTCGTATATGCTGACTGAAAACTTGTTTTGATGAACTTTGTTTTGAGTCAGAGTGTTTTTATTTAAATGTATATACATAATATTTTTAATGTGATGAAACTTGATTGACTGGTACAGTTCGTGTCCCACAAGACTATCACAAACTTTCAACATGGTTATTTATTTAATATTTATTTTAGAGTGTGTCAGGGACTTGAAACAAGATTATAAAGATAATCAGTATCCAGTCACTGATGATAATACAGCACTGCACAAATTCTGTGCTAAATTGGAATATTTGCTTCAAGTGGAAAGAAAAGGTATGTATACATTACATGATGTACTGTACCATGAAGTGAAATACACCTGTCTTGTATTACCAGGGGTAACTCAATTTGCATAATAGAGTTACAATTAATGTCAGTCAATGAATGTTCTGGAATAAAATAAATCGAATCGATGCACCTTAAGCAGATGTTTGTGATTCCCATTTGCAAAGCACAAACAGGATATCTTTCCATTTTTCTGGTTTATACCATCTGTGTATTTGTGTCATAACAGGTTATCATGTCTGTAGTTAAAAAACAAGAGGTGCAATTCACAGATGATTTGCATGACGGAAAGTGATAATAAAATGTTTTCAATAGTCAAAAAAGTACAATAGACAAATTTACCATCAAGTGTTTTCTTTGGTATGGCATATGCGCTATTTATTCGCCCATATCTCAGCTTTCAGATAATATATAGATTGTTATAGTAGCATGCTTAGTAACATTTAAAGGATGTTCATATCATACTGTAAAAGGGTTAACTATTTTACACATTTTTGTTTGAACCCAATGAACAAAATATTCTGTTGCCTATAGGTATGGGATCTTTATTTTCGATTATAACAAGAGAAAAAACCTAAAGACCCTTCATGTCATGAAATCTTACAAAATTTGATTTTCTGATATAAATGCATGCAATCAATCAGACATGAACTGAAAATGTCTTCAAATTGGTTAGTTAAAAGACGGTGGTCATCGTGCTGCACATGTGCCACATTTGTGTTGATAAACATTGATTTACCCACAATCCAATGCGCTCTTCTAATGAAATCACAAGTACATGTATGAGGCTTGACCTGGGTTTTAATTGTGCTTATTTCGCTGACTGGAAAATATGCTAAATTAAAATTGAGCATAGAACTCATTATCTAAATGATAATCTGTGAATTTAAAACCCACTGAATATCCCTGAAATGCTAAATCAGCAAAATTTAAACCCAATTATTCATTTTACAGTAGATCAATTTTTAATTTGTTTGACCCCTGTTGCTACCTTAAAGGGTGGTAGTCATCGCGCCACGCATGAGCGAGATATATGGGGGTCATATAAACAATGATGGCGACTTTGACTGTTGCGCAGATCAACAAGTGCAAACTGAGATGTTACCAAGCTTTACTTAGGTATTTTTTAGGTGAAGGAGTCACCGGCGATAATTAGTGCAAGTCGCCCTTTAACTAACACATTTGGAGACATTTTCAGTTCATGTCTGATTTATATCAGAAAATAAAATTTTGTAAGATTTCATGAAATGAAGGTGTTTAGGTTTTTTTCTTATTACTGTGGAATACTTTATTTTTGCTGGAATTAATTTTCGCTGAAAAGGCTTTTTGGGCGTTTTGTATGGAACTTATTTTCACTGATTTTTGATGAGTTTAATGTGAAATATAGGAAAAAAAGTATATTTGCTGGATTTTATTTTCACGGAATTATCCTTTCAGCGAAAATAAATTCCAAGCGAAAATAAAGTATTCTACAGTATAATCAAAAGTAAAGATTTCATACCTAAAGTCAACAGAATATTTTGTTCATTGGGTCCAAACAAAAATGTGTAAAATTAATTATTTTTTATTTTTTCACTGAAGAGAGAACACATTAAAAATAAAATCCAGTGAAAATAACTTTTTTCCTATATTTTATACTCAACTCATCAAAAGTCAGTGAAAATACACAAATCAGCTAAATCATCTGCCTTTGCTTTCATGGGTATGATATACATACTCATTACCAATCTGAAAATAAACTTTGCTAATGTTTCTTGTACTTTTGTACAGAAAAAAGTAGTCTGCTTGGAGGAAGAAAGGAGCATTGGAACTATTTCTATGAGTGTCTGTATAAGGTTAAAGGCTTGAATGATGGGATTAGATTTGTCAAGTCACTGAATGAGGTAAGTGTATGTACAAAGTGAAAGGCATGAATGATGGAACTAGATTTGTCAAGTTACTGAATGAGGTAAGTGTATGTTCAAGGTGAAAGGCTTGAATAATTGGACTAGATTTTACAACTCACTGAATGAGGTAAAGTTATGTTCAAGGTGAAAGGCATGAATGATGGGATTAGATTTGTCAAGTCACTGAATGAGGTAAGTGTATGTACAAAGTGAAAGGCATGAATGATGGAACTAGGTTTGTCAAGTTACTGAATGAGGTAAGTGTATGTTCAAGGTGAAAGGCTTGAATAATTGGACTAGATTTTATAACTCACTGAATGAGGTAAAGTTATGTACAAGGTGAAAGGCATGAATGATGGAACTAGATTTGTCAAGTTACTGAATGAGGTAAGTGTATGTTCAAGGTGAAAGGCTTGAATAATTGGACTAGATTTTACAACTCACTGAATGAGGTAAAGTTATGTTCAAGGTGAAAGGCATGAATGATGGGATTAGATTTGTCAAGTCACTGAATGAGGTAAGTGTATGTACAAAGTAAAAGGCATGAATGATGGAACTAGATTTGTCAAGTCACTGAATGAGGTAAGTGTATGTTCAAGGTGAAAGGCTTGAATAATTGGACTAGATTTTACAACTCACTGAATGAGGTAAAGTTATGTTCAAGGTGAAAGGCATGAATGATGGGATTAGATTTGTCAAGTCACTGAATGAGGTACAAAATGTAAGTGTATGTACAATGTGAGAGGCTTGAATGTCAAGTGGAAGAAAAGAAAAATTTTCCAACCAAAATAAAAGTGCAATTTCAATGACTATTTAAAAAAAATGAGTTGGGTGAGGAGGAGGAGGTGGGGGCTAAGGTTTCAGTAACCATCAACCTCAGGCCATAATAGGAGCCTCGTTCATAGTGCCTAACTAGCAATAACTAGCAATATTAACAAAAATATTTTTCTTTACACAAATTACAGGTAAGGTTGCCGTTAGGCAAAGGACGTGCATTTATTCGGTACAGTTTGGTCCATCAGAGGTTAGCAGATACTCTACAACAATGTGTTATGAATCAAAAAGTTACCAGGTGAGACATACATATCTGATATATGGATTCATTTATGATATGTGTATATTATTTTATCCATACAATGTACATAGATTGGCATCTATTATAATATTATACCAGTGTATCACACCTATAAAGGCGTGATTGTGATTGGATGAGATGTATTTTTAATTAATTAATTTTTGCAAGTCGATCTGTCATACCAACAAATTTTTTTTCCCAAAGCCTGAAACAGAAATTCAACCCAACAAGTTAATTTTAGTGACTTCCTGTAAATTAAGGTGCATGATGTTGACGTGCACATGTCTGAGGCTGCACATCACTTTGTTGGGTGTCATCGTGCTATGCACTAGATTCATCAGTAATCCAACTTAGCCTTTCATGAAAAATAATACTATCATTTGGGGATAGTTCTCCCTTAATTTTAATTGGTCTGTCAAGTACGCTACTGTAATATTATTTATTTTTGTCTACTTGCTCTTTTTCTTGTTAGTGATTGGTATAAACCCAAGTCAGTGCTACTAAACTCAAACTATTGCATGCTGATTATCAATGACCTGTATGACCTCAATGATATTCAGTTTGACCTTTCACCTACTGGCTATGACCTGGACAATGCATGGCCCACATTTGCAAGGTAAGAAACAGTCAGTTGTGTGAAGAATAAGCTGCTTTCTTTATATTAAGACCAGAATTTGTGGGGAATCATGAATTAAAAATGTGCACCTGTTTATTTTCTTTTGAAATGATAAACCTTTCCATATTTTAATACACCTAAAAATAAAAATGATTAGTTTTTACCTTGCCCATACCATCAAAGATGGAAGGGAAAGGTATATTAAGGGAAAAATTTTGTCCGGCGTTGTCGTTGTTGTCGTCGTTGCTGTCCATTCCAAACTTTATCAAAATTGGTCACCTTATTCATCAGTATAAAGTCTTCCCTGAGTTTGAACAACAGATGTCCTGTATGAAAATATCATGCAAAAATTGAGAAAATCTGATAAAATATTTTGACTGTTTCTACTTGACTGATCACTGGTGATACACATCAAAGGTCACTGATCTCAGTGGAAATATGCATTGTTGTATGTGTTCAATGAAGCAAATGATTTATCTTGTAATAATATCCTTGGTAATGTATCTCAGAATCCCATACTGGGTTTCAAAACCAACTCATGGAGAGATTACACAGTCTGATACACATTTGCAAACCTACCAATAAAATCTTTACAGAAAACAAGATGTCAGAAAATCAATATAA